AGAGATGATGTCAAATACAGATTTTGTAGGGCCTGGGAGACCCCTGTAAGGACTTTGGCTTTTCTCCAAGCGGGGACCCCTTAGGTTTTGAGCAGAGGAATGATTTTTAGTTTAATGGGATCTTCTGGTAGCTCTGTAAGGAATAGATTGAAGAGGGTAAAGGGTAGAAACAAGACACCAGTTGGGAGGCTATTGCAATAGAGTCATTTTCCTTTTCTTCCTCCATCCATCCACTTATCTCTGTGCATTCGCTTTTTCAGAGAGCACAAGGGGAGGGGAGTGCAGAGGGACAAGCAGACTCCCTGCTTGGCGGCTCACACTCAATCCCAGGACCCTGGGATCATGACCTGAGCTAAAGTCAGACACCCAACCAACTGAGCCACCTAGGCACCCCTAAATTATCTTTATAGTATTATGTATTTATGTTGCTTAATCCATTTTCCCTGCCAAGTCTTTCTCTTGACCTTGACGCAAATGTTTAACCTAGTCAGTCTCTGACAAAAGAATACAAAGTTTATCAGCCCAGATAAGGATTAAACCAGTGAATGTCATCTAATGAGAATTTTTTCACACCGACCCCACTAGTTTCAGTCAGTTAAATGTTGATGAATCACAAGTTGTTTGCTTTCATTTCCCATTAATAAAAACTCTCTAACATTATTAACTTTAAAGAAAGAAGAAAATGTGCCTGAAAAATCTTGTGTACATTTTATGTAATTAGTATTAAATTTGCAATATGATACTTTATTAAATCTAAGGCACAATTGTTTGGAAGGTATACTTTATGTACCACCAAGAAAGAAAAAAACATTTTCAGTTAAACTGAAATTTGTCATCAGTCGCAAGGCATTCCTATTTCAAATGTTAAAATATGCAAAATATGCAACTGGAATTGATGAAATATAGTGGATTAGCTTGCACTGGAAATTTTATATTTATGTGGGGGATGATTTCATTTTATTGGCTGGCTTTTCCATTATACATCTTAGTTATTAGAAACAGGACTTTAAAAAAAATGCTAATGTGTGTGAAGCAAATCTTACTGCCAAACAAAATAATTTTCTTATGTCTCCTTTTCTCTGTAAGTTCAGGAAATGGAAAAAAAAAAAATTGAGGTGTGAAGTGTATACCAGAACTGACTATAGAAAGATGCAATATTGGGATGAACACTTCAGCTGATATTTTGAATTTACTATGAAATATAAAGGAGTCACAATCTTACCACTAGCATTTTGCTTTGACCATATTTATGATTCATGCACTTTTCCTGAGATCAATTCTAGAACAAAGTTTCTAAAAGAATGAAAAAGACAAATGATAGATTGGATTGTGGCCATTAAGGCAATATGTGAATGGCTACAAGCTTTAATAAGGCATACAAAAGAGAATTTACAGAAGAGGTGGAAAATAAAGAAGTAGAAATGTAAAAGTAAAGAAGGAACTCCTGGAGATGATTGTGGTTATGATCACAGGGATGTAATCTGTGTATTTTTCAAAAGTCTTCAAACTGTATACTTAAAATCTGCATCTCAGTGTACATAAGGTATACCTAAAAAGAATCCAAGAACAAAAGCAGTAAATACATAAGAATGAAAAGTTACAATTTTTAAAAAAAGCCAAGTGTTATACTATCAGAAAAAGGGGAGGGTGTGTTTGATATACAGGGATAAGGACATAGAAGAAAGAAATAATAATTTGGAATAATCTTAAATAGGAAGATAAATAAGTTATTCAAATGTAGAAATCCTGAAAAGTGTGTTTCCACATTGATAATGCAACAGTTAAAATAAAATAAATATGAAAATAAAAACGTACATAGAGGTATGAAATCCAGCAACACTGTTTTATATAACCATTAAAAAGAACATTGGGGCACCTGGGTGGCTTAGTCGGTTGAGCGTTTGTCTTCGGCTCAGGTCATGATCCCAGGGTCCTAGGATCAAGCCCCACATCGGGCTCCCTGCTCCGCGGGAGGCCTGCTTCTCCCTCTCCCACTCCTCCTGCTTGTGTTCCTGCTCTTGCTGTGTCTTTCTGTGTCAAATAAATAAATATTTTTTTAAAAAAATAATATATTAACAATTGAGATGAAGTTTTGACAGAATATAAAGACAAAGCAACCCTGAAAATCTAGGTTAGGGTTCCCAAACACAGTTTTTAAGGCTTTTTCCCTGAAGATTTTTAAAAATTTTATTTTATTTGAATTCAATTAATTAACATACAGTATATCATTAGTTTCAGAGGTAGAGTTCAGTTATTCATCAGTTGCGTATAGCTCCCAGTGCACATTACGTCACTTGCCCTCCTTAATGCCCATCACCCAGTTACTCCATCCCCCCCCCCACCCCCCTCCAGCAACCCCCCCTTTGTTTTCTATAGTTAAGAGTCTCTGAAGATTGTTATGATAAGTCTGTGGTAGGGTCTGGGGTTCTGTATTTTTAACAAGCACCCAGGGGTTGCCTGGATGGCTCAGTTGGTTCAAGTGTCTGCCTTCAGCTCAGGTCATGATCTCGGTCCTGGGATCGAGTTCCGAGTCTGGCTCCTTGCTCAGCAGGGAGCCTGCTTCTCCCTCTGCCTGCCACTCCTGCTTGTGCTCACTCTCTGTGACAAATAGAATCTTAAAAAAAAAAAAAGGGTTTATTAGAGCGCGTGCACATGTGCGAGCAGGAGAAGGGGCAGAGGGAGAGGAGGAGAGAGAATCCTCTATACAGAGCAAGTAGTGGGGCTTGATCTCACCTCCCTGAGATCATGACCTGAGCTGAAATCAAGAGTCAGATGATTACCAACTGCCCTACCCAGGTGCCCCCATATATGCATTTTTAAATATATGACAGATCAGAGATTATAAACAATTTTGCTTCCAGCATTTTTTCCATTTACATTGTAATTAAAATTTGAAATGCTAATGACAGGACACCAGGGTGGCTCAGTTGGTTAAGCATCTGCCTTTGGTTGGGGTCATGATCCCAGGGTCCTGGGATCAAGTTCTGCATTGAGCTCCTTGCTCGGCAGGGAGCCTGCTTCTCCCTCTACCTGCAACTCCCCCTGTTCATGCTCGCTCACACACTTACTCTCTGACAAATAAATAAATCTTTTAAAAAAAATGAAATGCTAATGACTATGTGAGATTCCCAAAATAAGTCCTGGGTTTTACAACTACAGTATTTGAAGTAAGCTAGGTAGTTAATTAGGCTTTAACTATTTCATATTTTTGCAACTGGCTAAGACTATTTTCATCTTATAGTGTATTTGATTTTTTTAATAAGTCTCCAAATTAGTCAAAACATTTTAGAATGTATATTTGCTTATTTATTTTTTTAATAATTTATTTATTTGACAGAGAGAGACAGCGAGAGAAGGAACACAAGCAGGGGGAGTGGGAGAGGGAGAAGCAGGCTTCCCACAGAGCAGGGAGCCCGATGTGGGGCTCGATCCCAGGACCCTGGGATCATGACCTGAGCCGAAGGCAGTTGCTTAACCGACTGAGCCACCCAGGCGCCCCTAGAATGTATATTTGTTTAAAGGGAAGAAAAATTGATGAAATTTAAGAATTATAAATAGAATTAATGGTAAGCATTGTAAAGTAGAGGGGCATCTGGCTGGCTCAGTCAGTGGAGCATGTGACTCAATCTCGGGGTTGTGAGTTTGAGCCCCACATTGGGTGTAGAGATTATAAAAAAAAAAAGAATTATAAGTAGAGAAGTCTTCTCATAGACAAGTAAATGAAAGCACTAAATAGAACATATTCAATTCTTTGAATGTAGTAAAGCTTGTAGAGTAAAATGTGAGATTTAATTCATATCACAGGTGGTAGTTGAGTATTTACTATATGTTACCATTTTTCTTAGCACTTTACATATGTTATATGTAATATATTTAATAGTTTCATTGTTTATTCCTGAATTAAGCAATAGAGTTAAAATTATTAGCCAATATTCTTTTCATTATTTTGCTTGTTGTAAAAGGTAGATACTTTCCTGGGCACCTGGATGGCTCAGTCAGTTAAGCGTCTGCCTTCGGCTCAGGTCATAATCCCAGAGTCCTCGGATTGAGCCCCACATCAGGCTCCCTGCTCAGCAGGGAGTCTGCTTCTCCCCCTGCCCCTCACCCCACTCTCATGCTCTCTCTCTGTCTCACAAATAAATAAAATCTTAAAAAAAAGAAGAAAAGGTAGATACTTTCCTTAATTTTACAGCACTTGAACTTTAATGGACCATCTTCTTGGAAGATAGTTTATGTATTTTTTTCAAACAAAAAATCTCACGTATTTATTACTGAACCAACCAACTGGTGCAGAAGCATAGTAACAGAGAAGAATCATTTCCCTGATAAAACATGTCTATTGCTCAGGTTGTAGTGATGTTACAGAGTGATAGGATAGGAGTATGTGACCATGCAGCATAAATATGTGTGCCATCCATGTGCTGTTCCTTGTAGACCAGCTTGGTTCTTTTCCAGTGCCTCCTCTTGAAGCTGTACCTGATTTTGATACCAGTTTTCATCTGAATCTACTGGGGAATGGGACAATTATGCTTTTGTTTCTTGGCCAGAAATTGCTTGATGGGTCTTGTGAGAAGATCCAAATCAGAGTATTAATGTGCAGAGTTGGGATTCAAACCCAGGCCATTCAAGCTCCTAGGTTAGGGGGCCTTCCAGACTTCCCTGCTGTCATCCATGGCGAGGAACAGTCAACCACACACACCATGATGGCAGAGAAATAGGAGAGAGAAAAAATAGTTCACTTTTTGAGTGAAATTATAATGAATCATGGTTAGCACATCGACTCACACAAAGCATAGTTGAAATGTATAGAATGAAAATTAAGATAATGACATACCCAAAGCACCTGCCTCCCAAAATATATATGAGGTTTAAATGAACTTTTAGATTTAAGATTCTTTAGTTATTTTTGTTTTGTTTTTGCATTATCTTAATGTCTGAGAAAAGAATGAAATTTTATGTAAGTCCACAGAATTTTTCATTAAGGTATTATCTTTTTCTAGCTTAAAGCAATAAACGTAGATCTTCAAAGTGATGCTGCTCTGCAAGTGGACATTTCTGATGCTCTTAGTGAGAGAGATAAAGTAAAATTCACTGTTCATACAAAGGTAAATGTGATTTTGTACTTGTATTATTAATAGCTATTTATTGTGCAAAAGTTACATATGTAATAATATACTGACTGGAACTTTGGTTTTGAACAAATTAGAAAGAAACCATATTTTAGTTTATAATTCACTGCTTTTATTTTAACAAACAGTTTAGGGAATGTACTTTTTTTAATATGCTTTTTAAACGTTAACATTTATGAATTAGTCACAGAACCTAGATGTAATAAAAATTTAATTTTCTCTAGACTTATTAACATGTTTCAGTATTCTTGTTTTCAATTTTGTTTTGTTCTTTCAGTTAATTATATTACTGTCTTAGAGGGCATTTGGGTGGCTTAGTTGGTTAAGCCTCGAACTCTTGATTTCGGCTCAGGTCATGATCTCAGACTTGTCCCTCTCCCCCCACTGACCTTCCTCTCTCTCTCTCTCTCAAATAAATAGAATCTGTGAAACTATTTAATAAATTACTGTCTTAAAAATTATTTTCTTCTTGGATTTTAGTTCTCAGGCACATTTTCAGATCTTAGATTTATTTTCCTTTGAGTAGTTCAGTTTGATATATATTAATAACTTTTAAGTAATGGTAGCAGCACAATATAATAAGAGGCTGTCAACTCACTTTCTTAAAGATCCCAGGATAATTTTTTCTGGGTGTCTCAGAGTTTTCATAATAGAGTTTAAAAGTACTGATAATCATTCATATAAGACTAAGAAAATAAAATTAAAAATGTTTATTAAAAGCTCTTTAGTGTAATTTTGGTTTTTCTTCAAGAGAATCTCTATCTTTGCAGAGTTCATTGCAAAATTTTAAACAAAATGAGTTTTCTGTTGTTCGACAACACGAGGAATTTATCTGGCTTCATGATTCCTTCGTTGAAAATGAAGACTATGCGGGTTACATTGTAAGTGTTGGGAAAATGGGATTAAAACCCATTTTAATCCCATTTTCTAGGAACTTTTTAGATACTTTGTTAAGTGTTAAATCTTGTTTAGCATTTTAGTGAACTGGTGTGATTTTTAAAAATTGTGAGTTACAAAATGCAATTGACTACCGCCTTTTATCCTGAATTACCTAGTTTGAGAGTGTGGAGATATGGATATCTTACGCTCCTTCATTTAAACTTAAATTCTTACTGTTTATTGGAATTGAAATGGACTTTGCCTAGAGATTAAGAGGATGTTATAAACCATACCCGTTTTGAACCCTTAGGTAGACAGATATTTAGAGTTGGAGGGTTCCTTAAGAGGTTATCTAATCTCAGTATGCATCAGGTATTGTGCCTCAGCTGTTGACCACAGTCAGATTCCTGAAATTTAGTTTCATTTGATCTCCTTGAAATCATCCTGAACTGATTCTGTCTCCATCCTTATGGCCACTCCTTCTCAGTCATTTGTTTTTTCTTTGTAAAACTCAGAATTTGGTGGACAGCTGGCAGTGCATTCTTTTTTTTCTTTCTTTCTTTTTTCTTTTAAAAAAATTACCGGTTTATATAAAGAATCAACACAGGAACAGCCAAAAGGAAGAGATGCATAGGACAAGGTACAGGGAGAGGGGGTTGGTGCAGAACTTTCATGTTCTCCAGGTGTACCACCTTCCACCTTCCAGCATGTCAGTGTCTTCGCCAACCTGGAAGCTCCTTCTCTTCCCATCTTATTTCCACCTTTTCGTCCTCATCTTGTCTAATTCTTTATTTTTTGTTTTAATTTTATTTTATTATGTTATGTTAGTCACCATTCATTACATCATTAGGTTTTCATGTAGTGTTCCATGATTCATTGTTTGCGTATAACACCCAGTGTTCCATTCAATACGTGCCCTCCTTAATACCCATCACTGGTCTAACCCATCCCCCACCCCCCCCCCCTCTAAAACCCCCGGTTTGTTTCTCAGTACATAGTCTCTCATGGTTCGTCTCCCCCTCCAATTCCCCCCCCTTCATTTTTCCCTTCCTACTATCTTCTCTTTTTTTTATCTTAACATATAATGTATTATTTGTTTCAGAGGTACAGGTCTGTACATAATTCACAGCGCTCACCTAATGGCATTTTCTTACTACTATGTCCTTCTACACACTAAACACTCCTCAAAGATCAAGACCATATCTTATTTAGGGACGCCTGGGTGGCTCAGTTGGTTGAGCCCCTGCCTTCAGCTCAGGTCATGATCCCAGGGTCCTGGGATCAAGTTCCTCATCGGGCTCCTTGCTCATCAGGGAGCCTGCTTCTCCCTCTGCCTGCAGCTCCCCTGCTTGTGCTCTCTCTGACAAATAAATATAATCTTTAAAAAAAAAAAAAGACCGTGTCTTATTTACCTTTATATGCACATTGTTCAGCATCATTCCTGGCACATAGTAGATGTGGTGTATGGGCATCCATGAATGTGTGCTCAGCTGTACTTGATGCTTCCTTCCCTGTGGCTTTCCTCAAGTATAACCTTTTTCTTGTATTCATTCTTTAGCGTTCCCCTACTTATCTGTTCTTCCTCTTATCTTCTTGCTTTCTTTACTTGCCATCATTTCCCCTTAACAGTTCTTCTAGGCCCTTCCTCTTAAGATAAACTTTTTCTTTATCCTTCCTTTGAATGATAACGTCTCTTCTAGATCTTATATTTTTATTTAAGGTAACTGTTTACTTACCCACTGTGAGTGAATAGAATGATGTTAGTCATTAATCCCTGTCTTGTTCTCTTGGTTTTAAGTCAGTGCTTTCTTCTGATAACACTCCTCCAATTCAGGAATGCTTTTTAACATTCCTTGCTGGATCATACTCTTGGCATTCATGAATTTTAAAAACATAGAATAGCATAAAGCTACTATGAATTCCTTAATTAAAAAATATATTTGTATTTAATCAAACCATTTACATACTTCTGAAAAATGGTATGCATCTTCTTTTAGTGTGTAGTCAGAGCTTAATGTGCATATACATTTGAGGACTCTAAGTTGCCACATAGGAATCTGCAGATTAAAGTTTGGAAACTATTGTTCTTATACTAGAAAATAGTGCTCTGCTGTATTTCTTCCTTGGCGCAAAGGACCTAATCAAATTCTCTATCCTGGGGCACCTGGGTGGCTCAGATGGTTAAGCGTCTGCCTTCTGCTCAGGTCATGATCCCAGGGTCCTGGGATTGAGCCCCGCATTGGACTCCTGGCTCAGTGGGGAGCCTGCTTCTCCCTCTGCCTCTCTCCCTGCTCATGCGCTCTCGCGCTCTCGCGCGCTCAATCTCTCTCTCTCTCTCTCTCTCTGTATCTCTGTGTCTCAAATGAATAAAAAAAAATTTTTTTTTTTAAATTCTCTATCCTGAATTGGGATATTCCTGGTGTCATGTTCATTCAGGATGTCTTTAGCTCTCCCAGATACAGTCTTTTATGGTGGCAGTAGTATAACTGCTGTGAAAAAGAAAATAGTCCTTAAATTAGTGACTTGGGGGCGCCTGGGTGGCTCAGTTGGTTAAGCAACTGCCTTCGGTTCAGGGCATCATCCTGGAGTCCCTGGATCGAGTCCCGCATCGGGCTCCCTGCTCAGTGAGGAGTCTGCTTCTCCCTCTGACCCTCCCCCCTCTCATGTGCTCTCTCTAATTCTCTCTCTCTCAAATAAATAAATAAAATCTTTAAAAATAAATAAATAAGTGACTTGGTTCTCTTACAGATCCCACCAGCACCACCAAGACCTGATTTTGATGCTTCAAGGGAAAAACTGCAGAAGCTTGGAGAAGGAGAAGGGTCCATGACAAAGGAAGAATTCACAAAGATGAAACAGGAACTGGAAGCGTATGTGATTTTTGTTGTTGCTCTTGTTAATTGTGCTTGTTTTAATGCCTTTTTCTGTGCTCTCTGGTATCCCATCCTTTTAATCATTTCACCACAGTGACCCTTTCTGAAAGATGCAGGTTTAAGCCAAACAACCAGTTTTAATGATCATGATCAGAGCCTACAGGAAAATTATAGAATAATTGTCTGTATTGTAAAATTCTTTAATGTTTTAAATAGACTCTGAAAATTGAAAACAGAGGATCCAAAACTTTATTAAAAAATAGCAGAAAGGGAAATACGACTTTTTAAAGCAGAATGTAACTTTTGTTTTTTATTTACAAGGTTTTAGTCATTGCCAACCTAGTTTTCTTTTTTCGATATGTGCATACTACCCAAACTTCTGTTTCTCATAGAAATATGCACTGAGCAACTCTGCATATATTATTTTCTTTTTTAAAAAATGTGTGTGTGCGTGTGTGTGTAATTTTTGCCTTCTTTTTTTCTATCTCTGGCTTCTGGCTGAAGGAAAAAGAATAGGAACAAAGTAACAAGAGAATAGTCTTTAAAATGTTATTCAATGATTATTAGTTTCACATATACTAGAAATGTATTAAATCCTTGAAAAAATTTGAGATAGTTTCTATTTTATTTTTAGCATACTTGCTAAAAATACCAAATCTTTCCCCTTTTACTAGACATATGAATAATTTTAGATTTGCAGTATATTGTTTTTCTGTATTTTGGGAGCTATACAAAGAAAAACTTTCCTTGTATCATCATCACTTCCATCACTCTTTTTCTGGCCATTTCTCCTCTTCATGCATTTCCTTTTCTTCACTTAGTTTCAGCTCTTAAGTGTCTATCCACATGGCTACTAGACCCCTCTTCAGAATGCTAAACTCATTTGACAAGATAAATTAGCAAAGTAGATCTTTTTTGTCAAAGTGTAAGGTGCCAGGTATTTTAAGATTTTTATCCATGCTGGGTGCAAGCAATAGCCTGAGAGCAGACAGAAATCTATACTTTTATAGTTATAAGACTGAAAACTGGAAATTAGCAGAGCACATTAATATTAAAGAATCTGTGGTTTTCCAGTGGCCCTGATCATGATTCTTTTGTGGTCTGGTTAGGGGTTGGATAACAGAGAACCTTGGGTTTATTCTACTGCTACCTCCATCCTCTGCATCCTTCTTTTTTGTCTTCACTGAATGACTACCCTCACAGAGATCAAACTTCTCCCAACATTGGTCCTGCTGGTTTGCTGGTATGTAAAATTTATCCTCCTTGCACGTAGTTGAAGCAAGAATATTGGGCCTTTTCCTTGAGTGTTTCTTTTTTTCAAACTGACACGTATTACTATATGATCGCTGTGATTCACTGATGATATTAAAATATTTTAAACAGTTTTTCAATGTAATGACAAAAATTAGTCTCTCTGCGGTATGCTTTTTTCTTGTGTGTTTGGGTCATTAGATGAAAATAATTATTAATGTCAAAAGTATGTTTACTGAGGTTTGGGTTTGTTTTTTTTTTATAAAAGTGTTTAAATGCAGTAATTATTTAGAAATTGAGTCATAAAGATTGTATTGAATAACTTGTAGTATACATTCTCTGGAGTTGAAAACGAACCCCTCTATAGTTACTTTAACATCAACTTGCATAGGAAGAAAGGTTCATAAAACCTAAAAATATTAACATTTAAATACAATAAATACTATTAACTAGCATGAAGCCTTTTCAGAGCTGGGTTTTATATATTTTATTAACAGTTCAACTAAAACCTTTGCTTACGTGGATTATATCTTTATATCTTTAATTTTGCTTTTAGTATAATTCAGAGTATTTGTTGAAAAAATTGTTGCAGATGATTTTCTAGTTGATGCAGTGTTTTACCTTTAATTTTGTATATTGTTTCTAGTGAATATTTGGCAATATTCAAGAAGACTGTTGCAATGCATGAAGTGTTCCTATGTCGTGTGGCAGCACATCCTATTTTGAGAAAAGATTTAAATTTTCATGTCTTCTTGGAATATAATCAAGATGTGAGTATTGATTAAAGTAGTGATCAGAGTTACTGGGAAAGTCAGGGAATAGTTAGATGACCCTTTTTTGTAACATTCTTATATTTCAAGGCAGTTTAAAATGATACTTTTGTAGTGGTAATACGGTATTTCAGTAGAACTTGAGGAGATTAGTTGAAGAAATGAGGGAAAATCATGTTACTACATGGGATATTGACTTTCATCCTGAATTGTGAACTTTTTAAGAAACACGGTTATCAACTTGATTGTTTCTTAAATTTGAGTTTGGAGTCCTCTGAAGCCTTATGGGGAATCCTAATGAGGTGTTTGAGCTAAAGAATTCCAGATTACTTTTGGGTTAATCATTAAGTTTTGATCTGTTTAACTGACCTTCTTCAGTGCGATTGCTCCTAATCTTCCTCCCTCCCTGCCTGAAAACTGTTACAGTGCAAATAGAAAAATTGATGCAATTGAGCTTTAAAGATTTCTTCATTTGTAGTACTGGCAAAAAAAATTTTAATGGGTAGGCAATACAGATCTTGGGATTTATATTCGGATGACAAGATTAACTCATAATTTTAGCAAAAAAACAAATGTAGCATAGTGCTAGTTTGTTTACAAGTTAACATCAAGATCAAAGAATTTTGTATATATAAATTTGTCATTCTGGTTTGGTTTTAGTAGACATGACAATGATGATAAAGTGTCCTAAGTCTAGCAGTAGAGAGAACACATTTTTTTAAAAGGGTATGAAGTAACTCAAGATCACAGAAACATAGCACTTAAGCATGGGTACTTTCACAAGCATAAATGTATGTGATACTGGCATGTGGTTGTTTGTAACTAGGAATTAATTGTAAAGAATGCTGGCTATATCATGAATTATAAGAAGTGAAAACAATTCGTGAGTAGGGTTGCCAAAGAACACATGATATAGAATGCTGTCGTCAGCTTTTTACCTTTATGTGTTTGTTTTGGCCTGGGCCAAAACCTTAATAATAATTGGTAGAGCAGCATAGGTATGTATACAGTGAGGCGTGGTGTTATCGGTTCAAGGCGACTTGTGCTAGAGGAGCCTCATGCTCCACGTACTGTAGCCCATTGCCAAATCCCTTAGTGCTATCTGAAATTACATCTGTATTTTTTTATACTTTTTTTTTTAAGATTTTTTATTTATTTATTTGACAGAGACACAGCGAGAGGGGGAACACAAGCAGAGAGAGTGGGAGAGGGAGAAGCAGGCTCTGGCCAAGCAGGGAGCCCAGTGCGGGGCTCGATCCCAGGACCCTGGGACCATGACCTGAACCGAAGGCAGATGCTTAACGACTGAGCCACCCAGGCGCCCCATATCTGTATTTTTTTTTTTTTTAAGATTTATTTATTTGAGAGAGAGAGAGAGCAGAGCACGAGCAGGGAGTGGGGAGGGGCAGAGGGAGAGGAAGAGACTCTCGAGCAGATCTTATCATGGGGCTCAATCCCAGGACCCTGAGATCATGACCTGAGCCGAAATCAAGAGTCACACACTTAACCGACTGAGCCACCCTGGCACCCCATATGTATCTGTATTTAAAAAATTTGTATATTTATTATTTGTCTCCTTCTGCTAAAATATAAGCTCTCTGGAAGCAAGGCTTTAATTTTTCACCATTGTATCCTTAGTACTTTAGAATAGTGGCTGACAATTAAGATGTAAAATAAGTATTTGTTAAAATGGTAAGTGAATGAGGGGCACCTGAGTGGCTCAGTTGGTTAAGCCTCTGCTTTCAGCTCCTGTCATGATTCCAAGGTCCTGGGATTAAGTCCTGCATCGGGCTCCCTGCTCAGTGGGGAGCCTGCTTCTCCCTCTGCCTCTGCCACTCCCCCTCCTTGTGCTCTCTTGCTCTTGCTCTATCAATAAATAAAATTTTTTTAAAAAATGGTAAGTGAATGATTTTTAATTGTTTAGATCAGCTTTATAAATAGCTTTCAGAAATCTTAGGGTTTCATAAGTTTTCTCCCATCACCGTACATTTTTCTTCTTCCCAAACTAATATATGCTTAATAGAGATAATGATGTACTGCATTATAATAACCCTTTTATGTCAGCATATGGTGTTTTGGAGAAACTCTAAAAAGACAGGAAAGTGTTTTGCAAATACTCTGTACAAATTAATAGCGGGACACCTGGGTGGTGCAGTCAGTTAAGCGCCTGACTCTTGATTTTGGCTCAGGTCATGATCTCAGGATGGTGAGATCGAGCCTCGCATCAGGCTCTGTGCTCAGCATGGAGTCTGCCTAAGAGTCTTCCTCTGCGCCCCGCCCCCACGCTCATGTGTTTTCTCTCTCTCAAATAAATAAATCCTTCTAAAATATATAATTAATTAATAGCAAGTACATTAATAGGTTATTGCAGATTATAGGCCCAAAACTAAAAAGTTTCTCTCAATCTTGTTCTGATGCTGTTTCTCAGATCTTTACTCTCTTCACTGGGGCAGGAAAAGCAATCTGTATATGCTATTTTGTTATCTAAGTTTCAGAGGGTCATGGGACTGATGAGCTGTTGAAGTAGGGCTAGGGTGCTTGAAGTCTAAAAAGGCCATGGGGCATTTGGGAGGCCTAGAAAAGCTTGTTCTAGCGTTCAGTTGTGTGAGAAGTAGTCACTGTTGTAAGCCTTTAGTGTTGCTTTACTTAGGTAGCTATATACCTTCTGTTTCTACTAGGTATAGTCTGAGTCTGCTTAACAGTAGATTAAATATTTAACCTAATTAATTCCCTTGGGGCACCTGGGTGGCTCAGTCGGTTAAACAGCTGCCTTCAGTTCGGGTCATGATCCCAGGGTCCTGGGATTGAGTCCCACATCTGGCTCCCTGCTCGGCGGGAAGCCTGCTTCTCCCTCTCCCACTGCCTGCCACTCTGCCTCCTTGTGCTCTCTCTCTATCTCTCTGTCAAATAAATAAATAAAATCTTAAAAAACAAAAAACACCCTAATGTCCATTCAATTCTTGCTACCTTATCAGTGGCCACACCCAGGACCCTATCTCTTATCTGAGTTCTTAAACTCTAGTATTAAGAGACTCCAAACATTGACAACTAGACTCCAAACATAGACAACTCTCTTTTTCCCTACTCCTTTTTTTTTTTAAAGATTTTATTTATTTATTTGAGAGCGAGAGAGAGAGCATGAGAGGGGAGAGGGTCAGAGGGAGAAGCAGACTCCCCGCTGAGCAGGGAGCACGATGTGGGACTCGATCCCGGGACTCCAGGATCATGACCTGAGCTGAAGGCAGTCGCTTAACCAACTGAGCCACCCAGGCGCCCATTCCCTGCTCCTGTTTTGGTTGTTCTTTAACTCACTGGTACATCTAGACCCTTGACCTCTCCTGCATTTTGACCCTGTTAGAAGCCCTTTTGTCTTTACTTATTTCTCATCTAGTCTAGATTGCCTGCTCCATCATTTATAACAAGGTTATGACTTTAGACAGCTCTCTCCCATTTTCCATAAAAGCTCATTTCAACTTTCAGCAGTTCCTTTAGATGAGAAAATGACCTTGTTCACTGGGAAGTGGAAGCTAGTCAGAAATCAAATCCTACAACTCTGTGTGTCTCCCACAACTCTCAGTCACCTTGGCAGCCATGATCATGTTTTAGCTTTTTTTTTTTTTTTTTTTTTTTTTTTTTTCCTTTCTAATCTGGATAACCTTTTAATTTCTTTTGTTTGCCTAACTGTCCTGGCTAGGACCTCCAGTACTATGTAAAATAGAAATGACAAGAGCAGACATCTTTGTTTTGTCTCTGATCTTAGGGGGAAAGCATTCATTGTTTCACTGTTAAGTATGATGTTAGCTGTGGGGTTTTCATTTATGCTCTTTATCAAGTTGAAGTTCCCTTCTGTTCCTAGTTTGTTGAGTGTTTTTGTTATGAAAAAGTATAGCTACTGAGATGATGTGGTTTTGTCCTTTATTCTGTTAACATGATGTATCACATTGTGCCTTTCCATTTTGATGAAGATACTTTCTAGCTCTCCTGGATCCCACGTACTTCTACATCTTTGGGATCTCTTCTGAGTTTTCTTCTTAACTCTGAACATTGTGAAACCCTGTAAAGGTATTAGTAAGGAGGAGATGCTCAAAATTTGATTTTGGAAGTCATCAACAAAATGGATTGAATTGAGGAAATGAGAGATGTTAACTAGTAGTCCAATATAGTAGTTAGGCAAGAAATAATGAGGTTTTTCACTAGGACAGTGGAAAAGAAAGGGACAGATTTCAGGATTTGATGGTAGAATTTGAGCTGTTAGAGACAAGAAGTTGTAGATTATTTCAAGATTTTTAATGAGAGGTGTGGGGCTTAAGGGAATATGTTGGGGAGACTGGTTGGATGGAGGGACCATGGATAGGGAACCAAGAAGAAAAATTTGGAGATGAGATTAGATTATAATGAATACTGTCTTAGTTTAATGTGGGTTTAGCAGAATCTCCATATAAGGATATAATATAGGCAATTGGAAATAGGGTCTGAGGTTCAGAAAGAGCTTAGGGGTAGTGATCATGATTTGTGAATCATTTACATAATGGTGAACATTGAAGCCATGGCAGTAGATATGGAAATTAGATGGGATGTTCCATTATGGGACAGCCTGATGCAGCAAGTGGTAAAGTCAGAGAGTTAGCTGCTTCTCAGTTTTGCCTTTAGATAACCATTCTTGCCATCTGGAGTCACCTTTTGTGTCCCTTATGGTATAAGTTGCTGATCCCCAAAACAGGACAAGACATGATATTTGTATGAGTTCAGAGTGAAGAATTTGCAGAATATGGGGCGCCTGGGTGGCTCAGTAGGATAAGCATCTGCCTTCGGCTCAGGTCATGATCCCCGAGTCCCAGGATCAAGTCCACATCAGGCTCCCTGCTCAGCGGGGAGTCTGCTTCTTCCTCTGCCTCTCACCCCGCTCATTCTCTCTCATTCTCTCTTAAATAAGATAAAATCTTACCAAAAAAAAGAATTTGCAGAATGTATTTTCAAAGCTTTTACAGAGTCCTATGATGGTGTATTAGACTCCAATAAATTTTACATCTTTAAAGGAACTCCTGGATTAAATTTTTAGTTGTCTTTATATATTACTATATATGTGATGAGAAGGCTACTTGCAATGGGATTATCAAATATATCAAATTTGAGATACCTAGGTATTATTGTACATCACCTGAATCTAAATCTTTGAGAGAGGCCAGCCTCCTCTTTAATACACTAAAGTTTGGAAGTCACTGATACACATAATGATATTGCCACTTTATTTTAAAAACCAGGATCGTTTTGTGGTTGCCATTTTGATGTCAGAGAGTAAAAGAGGCATTACTTTCCATTTGTAATCTAAAAAAATTGCCAACTTAAGTTTACCTTTCTTTCAGCTGAGTGTGAGAGGAAAAAATAAAAAAGAGAAACTTGAAGATTTCTTTAAAAACATGGTAAAATCAGCAGATGGAGTAATTGTTTCAGGCGTAAAGGTAAGATTTTATTTGATTAACAGAGGTATTGGTTTGAGAATCTACTTCTTTTAAGAAGATAGATTGAGATTTCAGATGTGCAGATGACTTATTAGAGTAAAAGAGAATTTGGACAGTAGAATGCTTAGGCCTGGGAATCTGGGCCCCCTGCCCTTGATTCTACTCTTTAGAGAACTTCCTTCTCCCAGGGGTGAGGTCTGTAGGTACAAGGGGATTTGTGCATACCCCTTCCCTCCAAACTAGACCGTGCTTTAGGGGTCTGGAACTCCATCATATTTCCTTGCCCAAATCTGAAGCCTCCTTCCAACTTTTTCTCTTCTGTGGGCCTCTTCCCTGAATTCATCCTCCAGTGTGTGCATTCATGGGTGGTCAAGGGTGACCATGGAACAGCTGGGGAGAGGGAGGGCACAGGGGAGAATCAGTGTGCAGGATAGAATATCCGTTTACATACACACATGAGGTTTCTCTAGGTGCCTTACAGAGCTGCAGGATAGGGCACGAAAGAGGGTCTGCCTCCATTTGTACACTTGCCCTCGGCCTTACAAATGTTAGGGGCAGCATCGGGCTCCCTGCTCGGCGGGAGGTCTGCTTCTCCCTCTCCCACTCCCCCTGCCTGTGTTCCCTCTCTCGCTGTCTCTCTCTGTCAAATAAATAATATCTTTAAAAAGGGGGGGAGGGGCACACTTGGGCTCAGATCTGGAGTTAGAAGAGCTCCTTTGAGGTTTTAGTCTTGTTGTGGGGCGCTTGGCTGGCTCAGTTAGTAGAGCATGTGACTCTTGATCTCAGAGTCGTGAATTGAAGCCCCACATTGCGTGTGGACCTTACAAATAAATAAATAAACAGGCATACTTAAAATTAAAAGAAATAAATAAATAGCACCTAAGTATTTCTTAATGATGTTCTAAAAATGGTACAAGAATTGATTTATCTGAAGACTCTTACCATTAAAAGAGAAAAGTGTTTATATTATATTATCAAGCAGGTACTAAGAAAGAGAGAAATAATGCTGCTTTGTCATCATTGCCTTTTTTTTTTTTTTTAAGATTTTATTTATTTATCTGACAGACACAGCGAGAGAGGGAACACAAGCAGGGGGAGTGGGAGAGGGAGAAGCAGGCTTCCCGCTGAGCAGGGAGCCCGATGAGGGGCTCAATCCCAGTACCCTGGGATCATGACCTGAGCCAAAGGCAGACACTTAATGACCGAGCCACCCAGGCGCCCCCATCGTTGCCTATTTTTATAGATACATCTACAGTAAAACTTAGGTAGGAAGTACTATTTATTTGATTTATACTTTGGTTTTTCAGAGACAGGTCAGCTGGTATGTTGACAATGCATATGCCATGGCTACTTTCTAATAAGAACTCCACTTCCTTCCATTTTGATGCTACTTATGCATTAATATTGAACATTTTTCTTAGCATTAATCCACTATATGGATTATGATTTTGGTAAAGTAGTAACATTTTTGAACATTTACAATGTGGTGTTTGTTAATCCACATTTTGTTTACTCTTCAGCCTTACAAGTTGGATAGTTTTATCCCCATTTTAACAGTTAAAAAAATTGGTACACATGAATTACAAATTTTAAAGGACATTTTGTTGGTACTGACTCTTCTTTCCCATTCTGTTGATGTGGATTTGAATTACATCATTTTAGCTGGTGCTTTTTCAAAAAATGATTGCTATTTTAGAAAGGAGGAAAGTACTTTTAATAATTTTTATTTTTAATGCGTATCGAGCTTTGTTTCAAAAAAGATACAATAATTGCTCCCAGAAAGCTAGTTTGGCCATGTTTCCCCAAAGCAATCAGAGAGGGCTCTAATGGCAAAGGCCTCACAGCCTTTAGGAATGACTCATAGAATACATAGTAGACCAAGAGAAATAGATTCAGACTTGTCTATCAGAATTTTTTTCTTCTCAAAAGCAATTGATTACTCCCCCCTGGCAGTAATATATTTGTTGGAGAGGCTGGACTGTAGACACAGCACAAGTAGGAACATATTTCAGAGTACAACATGTGAACGTGAACCATTATGGAAGGATCTAAGCTTTCAACTGCAAAACCATTGCAGATTTTTTCCTGGATAGGTAGAAGTGCATGTCTGTATAAAGTCTGAATTTGTTGGTGAAATCATTAGAACATCTGATTATTAGAGGATAGCTGTGCTGTTTTACTGATCTTTTATGATTATAATGGTAAAGTGATTTATGTATTACACTAAAGTAAATAAGTGAAAAATTATATTTTCTTTTGACCCTCTAGGATGTAGATGATTTCTTTGAGCATGAACGAACATTCCTTTTAGAATATCATAACCGAGTTAAGGATGCATCTGCTAAATCTGATAGGATGACAAGATCCCACAAAAGTAAGGTTTTTCTCTGTGGCTAAAGCTTATATTTTTTAATGGAATAATTATAAAGCTATTATGTTACTTATAGTTTATAAAAGTCTTGCTATAGAACAGTGGTTCTCAAACTGTGGTCTGTGAAGTCTTGACCCTAAGGCTCTTTTTATTTTTAGCAAGTCTGTGAGGTCAGAACTATTTTCATAACAATCCATGATGCTTTTTGTATTTTTCACCATGTTGACATTTACACTGATAAACAGAAGCCATGGTGGATAAGATTACTGGTGCCTTAGCACAGATTAAGACAGTGGCACCAAATTGTGCTAAGAGTCACTATATTCTTTCCTGCAGTGCATTTGCAGTTAGAAAAAAAAATCAATTAAGAATATCCTTGATAAAGCAGTTAAAATTACTAATTGTAATAAACATTTCCCTTGAGTTCACTTTTTTAATATTCTGAATGATGAAATGGAAGGTATACATAAAGCACTTTGATTGCGTACTGAAATATAATGGTTCTCTTTAGAAAAGCACTTTAGTTGCAACTGAATTATCTGCCTTTTTTTTCCCCAAAAAAACCACCATTTCTACTTGAGAGAACAGCTGCCAAACTATGATTATTCAGATTTGAGTATTTGGTAGACATTTTCTTAAAAATTAAGTGAATCTGTCACTTTAAGGAAAACAATTGACAGTATTTGTTGACAATGATAAAAGTCAAGCTCTTCAGCAATAATTAGAATTTTGGAAAACTTGTATCCATCCTCATGAACTTGCTTCACAATAAAGACTTGTCTGAGGAGACTGATGATCATATGTCAGTGTGGTATTTTTGATGTTGTTTATGTATAATGAAGTGTGTCAACGTTTGGAAGATCTGCTTAACTCATTGAGCCAATACTTTCTAAATGATCAAGTACATGATGTTACAAAATCATGTATGTAAGATTCCTTCAAAGTTTAAGATAGACTAATGTTCTCTTTTAACAGCTTTATTGAGGTATAAGTTGATATCAGCAAGTTGCAATGTTCAAAGTATACAATTTGATAAATTTTGACATATGTGTAAAATTATCACTATAATCAAGATAATGAACATATCCATCACCACCAAAAGTTTCCTTACAGCCCTTTGTATTCCCTCCCTTTTGCCCTGTCCCCAGGCAACCATTGATCTGCTTCCTGTCTCTATAGATTAGTTTACATTTTCTAGAATTTTATGTGAATGGAATCATACTATATGTACTCTTTATTATTTGGCTTTAAAATGCAACAAAATTATTTTGAGATTAATTCAAGTTGTGTGTATCAAGAGGGCATTCCTTTTAATTGTTGAGTATTATACTGTTGTATGGATATACCACAATTGTTTATCCATTCAGCTGTTGGTGGACATTTGGGTCATTGTTAGCTTTAGACTGTTATAAATAAAGCTGACATGAACCATCTAAATGTAAGTCTTTGTATGGACATGTGCTTTCATTTCTCTTGGGTAATACCTAAAAGTAGAGTGGCTGGGTCATGTGGTAAGTGTATAATTAACTTTTTAAGAAACTGCCAAACTTTTTTTCCCAAAATGAAATGATTGTACCATTTTACATTCCTACCAGCTGTGCATGAGAGTTCCAATTCCTCCATATGTTTTCCAACAATGATACTCATTCTTTTTCCTTTTAGCCATTCTCATAGGTGTCTCAGTGTGATTTTAATTTGCATTTCCCTAATGACTGATGATGTTGAATATCTTTTCTTATATAAGTCCTCCTGCTTTATTCTTCTTTACCAAAGTTGTTTTGGCCCCTCTGGGTTCTTTACATTTTCATATGGATTTTATTTTTTTATTTTATTTTTTTACCTATTTATTTTTTGAAGATTTTATTTATTTATTTGATAGGGAGACACAGCGAGAGAGGGAACACAAGCAGAGAGAGTGGGAGAGGGAGAAGCAGGCTTCCCGCTGAGCAGGGAGCCCGATGCGGGGCTCGATCCCAGGACCTTGGGATCATGACCTGAGCCGAAGGCAGACTTTTGACGACTGAGCCACCCAGGCGTCCCTTTTTTCATATGGATTTTAGAATCAGCTTGTCACTTTTATAAAAATGGTGTCTGGGATTTTGATTGGGATTGTGTAGAATCTGTAGGTCAATTTGGGGAGGATTGATGTCTTAACTATATTGATTCTTCTGATACATGAATATAGTATATTTCTCCCCATTTAGTTAGGTCTTCCTTAAATTCTCTCAGCAATATTTTATAGCTTTTGTGGTACAGATTTTTTACATAGTTATCTGATCCCTAATTATTTTTGATGCTGTTGTAAATGATGTATTTTATACCTTTCAGTTTCCAGTTGTTATTTGCTAATATATAGAAATACAATGTATTTTCTATATTGATCATATATCTTGCAGTCTTACTAAATATACTCACTTACTGGTTCCAGTAACTATTTGTAGATTCCTTTGGATCTTCTACACAGATGATCATCTGCTAATACAAACAATTAGACTTCTTTCCAATTTAGATTCCATTTATTTCTTTTCTTTGCCCCGTTGTACAGAAGCTATACCTGTAGCTCCAGTACAGTGCGGATGGAAGTGGTGAGAGTAGGCATCTTTGCCTTGTTCCTTATCTTATGCGGAAGGCATTCATTCTTAAACCATTAATTACAGTGTTTGGTGTAGGTTTTTCCTAGATGCTTTTTATCAGGTTGAGAAAATTCTCTTGTAAATTGCTAGTTTTCTGAGAGGTTTTTTTTTTCTTTTAAGTCAGGAATGAATGTTGGTTTTTTATCAAATGTTCTTTTTTGCACCTACAGTGTTGAGATAATCATATCATTTTTCCTTTTTAGTCTTAGTATGGTTAATTGTATTTTCTTTTTTTTTTTTTTTTTTAAGATTTT